GTACATCACCTCAGTGCAGGGTATTTACATTTATTCAAGTGTTGTGCAAATCATGGCTTCTAAAAAAACAGAAAGGTGATTTCAATTGAAACAAAGCAAGAAATCATCAGAAGGAGTGAAAGTTGACACAAACTTCCTTGTCAAATGGGGAGAGGTTCAGGAGTTTATCAATGCTCATTATCCAAACAGATCTGAGGCCAACAGGATCAATGATCTCTATGACGACACCCTTGCCCATCATTTCCAACAGGTGTTGAAGAACAGAGAGAAACAGACCACCTTGGACATGTTTTTTAAGAAGTCAGCTGCCAAAAAACAAAAGATGGAACAAGAGGAGTTGACCCTGCAAGCCCCGGTAGCCTCTCCTGAATCTGACTCCGATTAAAAAACAATAAAAAGAGACCTGCTGCAATGTGTAAAAAGTCTGTATCTGTATGAATGTGTGAAAAAAGTGTTCCTCCACCTCCTCCTCACAACATCTGACTACCTGGCATAATTGGTGACTGCACCATTTTCATTTTTTTTTTTTATGGAACAGTATGGTTATTTTATGCTGCGGAACGAATTATATGTTTAACATGTATTTCTATGGGAAAATCAGTTTCGTATAATGGACTTTTCATTTAACAGACGTGCACCTAGAACGGATTAAGTACGTTATACGAGTCACCACTGTACTTAATAAAAACACCCAGAAAATCTTCCCAGGAAATCTTCAATGCATCTCTTAGACACAATGATTAAGTGTAGGGAGGCAGAAACATTCTCTCATGCTTGGAGGTCTTTAATTCATATCCCTTTTGATACTTCAATCTCATCCTGCAAACCTAAGTGACATCATTCATCACATATTGGTTACAACCAATAGTATTACACTACATTAATTTTTTCAAATTCCTTGTTCTATCTTCTGAATTACATTTTAACCTGATTATGACAACTTAAATTTGTCAAAAACTTATATATTTCTTAAATTAAAATTTTACCATTGGATTTTCTGGTTTGTGAGAGTTTTTAATATTGTGGCCAACCTGGCAACACTTATCGTGTCCCTAGACAGGCGGACCTAGGGCAGTGCTAACAGTGCGACCGCACCGGGTGCCGAAAATGCACGATAGATCGTCTGCGAAAAAAATAAAACCCGATCACCTTATTACTACTTAACCCTACCCGCCAAAATAAATACCAAGATTAAAGAAACCAATATTTATACATTTATTTCCTTATTCCCTTTTGTTCTCTATCTTTCTAGAATTTTCTTTTCATTTCCTTTCATTCCCTTTGGGTGGGACCACCAATCCCAAGAACTGAAGACAATGGACCACCAGTTCCAAGAACATAAGACAATGGGAGAGTTAAGGCTCGAGGTCTGATAAGACAAAAAACACGGGTTAGTCTTGACCAGACCTTCATGGGAGTAAGACATAAAGAGAAGAGCGCTCCAGATCGTGAGTAGGCAACTAGGGGCTACTTGAGACTGAATAATTCTGAAGGAAGGACATTTTGGTTACATTAGAAAAATAGAAGACTCCAGAGTCAATGTTGGATGGAAGTCCCAATTTTAAAGAAAGGGAAGAAAAATCACGTCTGGTGTATCTGCAGAATCTGAGGTGGTGCCCACCCAGTGTTCACGAAATAAAGAGAATCCCGGGTATTTCGATCTTTCCCTTTTTCTATCTACCTTCTCATATAATCTTCTACCCTCTTTGGTTATAAGTTAGTGAGTAAGAATTAGTTCTAAGTTTCTGTATGCGTACTATTGTTGCGAAATTATTGTACTTTTATATTAAATGTCCAAAAAAGTGATATCCAAGCACATAGAAGGACTATCACTGAAAAAATTTGTGAAACTGGTTGGGAGAGTAGAGTATCTAGCCTCGCTGCAGTTCGTTATCACTACTCTTCAGTTTGTGACGCCCTTCTGGATCTTCATGAAGAAACGAATGACCCAGTTGCAGCCTCAGAGGCCTTGTCCCTGATTCAGATCATGGAGCAATTTGAGTTTATAGTAACAATAGTGGCTTGGTATGATATATTGTTTCAAGTAAACATTGTAAGCAAGGCTATGGATTTACCAAATGCTACACAATTGCTGAAGAACTGCTATGAATTTATAAAAGAATATCGGCATTATTCGTCTGCTGTAATAACAGCTAGGAAAATTGCTTTTCAGGCTGGATAGATCTTATTTTTAAGTCAATCTGAACCCTGAAGAAAGAAGAGATTATTTAAATACAAGCTTGTAGGTGAGACACCAACAGATCCTGAAGAATTATTTAAAAATAAACATCTTTTGCCCTATGATCGATACAATTGAGAATGTGTTGGTCACTCGATTTACACAACTCTTCAAATTTAATGATACACAGTCCTTTTTATACAACAACAAAACAATTCATGTAAAGTCAAAATTGGAAAAAGCCTGTGCAAATTCAGAAATAAGTTTAACCGATGGAGAAAAATGTGACATATCTGGTTGTGAATTGGTTGAGGAACTTTTACACCCGAATCCATTGTTGAAAGAGCTTGAATCATCAGAACCAATAAAAGTTCTTCAACTTATTAAACAAAATGATTATTAAAAAAAAATAGGATATATTCCTGAATGTGTGGACAGCACTTCGAATTTTGCTGACCATACCGTAATTGTCGCTAAAGGAGAACGAAGTTTTAGTAAATTAAAACTTATTTACGTTCAACCATGTGTCAGGATAGACTGTCAGACCTAGCAATTTTATCTATCGAAAATAGTATTGCCCAGGAATTAAATTATTCTGAATTAATAACAACATTTGCAAGTGCAAAAGTGAGGAAGGTGGCTTTTTATTTTATTTCATTTCTTGATTTGTTTCAATTTTAAATTAATATATGATGTAAATTTGTCTTTTGCATGATGTGAGCATTGTCTGTGTCATAGCAGTTTAAGTAAATATTGTTATCAATATTGCCTTATGAAAGAAATTAAATGAATATTGCCTTGTGAAAGAAATATTGTTTTTTTTTTTTTTTACTGTTATTGTTCTTCATCCATACTAGTACTATGCTATAGATTTTACACAAGAGTAAGCTGGGTTGTGAGAATATAAAACATGAACCTGAAATGTGTGCTATATCTCCATAACCTAAAATTAAGAGATTCCATCGATGGAGGAGAGGAAAAAAAACATCAACAGCTTGCGATACGTCTGAATTAACAAGGGCCAAGTTAACTCTCCATTTTCCGTTGTTATCGTTTCTCATTCATAGTATTCCTATACTAATCTTTCGGAGGTCTGAGTTATTAATAATGTGAAAAATGTATGTTATCAGTTTATTCTCTACAGGGGAGGGTGCCACAATGAGATCTCACACCACCTGAAAACCTGGCTAGGGCTGCCACTGTTCCTAGATTTAGTCTTTTGTCTCTTGGACAGCCATTCTGACCACATGCATGGTACTGCTGACACTCTCTGTACTTGAGCTCAAAATAAATTTGTTTTACTTGTTAAGATCTGTGTTTATTTGGTCAAGAACCCAAAATAGTATATTACTTCCAGTTCTCAGTCATTATTAGTTGATTAAATTCTATTATAACAAGATAATATTAATATTGTCTCTACAGGGTGCCTACTTAAACATCTAACCAGGAATGGAATATTTTTCCAGCATTGATTAGGTTAGCTTAAGTTGTGAACTGGACTGCAGAACATAAATACACTGGATATTATGTTGCCATGACATGACACCCATTCTGCTGTTATCTGCAACTAGCACAACATGTAGAGAATGCTACACAACAACTTCAACTGTGCAACATGATGTTAAATTTACAGCAAGACCTCTCAGCACATTTTATAAACTGATAAAGAAAGTAATTT